AGATCGAACTCCTCTAAAGGAAGCTCCATAAGATCAGCGAGAAAAATTTCTCTCTGAACCTCCAGAGGACAACGTCGAAATATCTTATTCACCAATACTGACTATCCTACTATACTCGTAACCGTAACAGTATTATCAGTGTCCTCAATCAGAATCTAAAGGTTTCGAGATACGTAGGAATGAGTGAAACCATTATCTAGTAATGCAAAGTATGTAATAGAATATATGGTAAATGTACCTGCAATAACCTCTGGCTCATCTCTGTCATCCCGACGTCTGGTGGCGTAAACCAAAGCTGGTTGTCTAGCCTCAGAAATTGTAGACCCTCTATTCTATTGGGGTCAGACTCTACTGTCTACCTTGGATACTGATCCTTGCGCCTTTCTTTGACTACGATCTCTAGTTGGGGTCTGTACCAAAGCCTGAGAATGCACATGAGTCTGGGTAGCGGTCCGCTTAGACAAAGCTAACCGTGGATAATCCCTCCAAAAATGACCACTGGATCCACAATGAAAATATGCACCAGTCTTCCTATAACACTCTCCTACGTGTCATTTACCACAAAAGTCACAATGAGGCACTTGAAGCAGAGTCAAAGAACCACCTCTACTAACAACTGAAGGGATAAAGTACGAGTCCTCTTCCTGAACTGTGCAGATGATTCAGTAGGGCCAAAAGATTTCTTAGATCGCTCTTGATCGACACGCTCTCTACCAGGAGGTAAAGCTTCCACCTCCTCAGCATCTTCTCTCTGCCCACTAGCACATCAAAAATCTCATCTTGGTGGGTCACAACCTACCTACGCAGCTCATATCTCAGTCCGAGGGCAAATTTACGGCATTGATCTCTCTCAGTGGGAACCAGACTAATGCCATATTTTAACAGTTTCAAAAATTCCATCTCGTACTCTGAGACTGAAATATCATCCTGCACTAAGTCTTGGAACCACTTTCGTCTCTCAGCCAGATAACGTTCTCCAAGAAAACTATTCCTGAAGGGCTATTTGAAGAACTCCCAACTCAAACGATCAGTTGGGATACCACTAACAACAGACTCCCACCAGGTGTGAGCATTGCCATCTAACATCGCAACTACACCCAGATATATTTTAGTTGGGTCCAAACCCAACTGATCCATACGTCTTTACGTATCCTGGAGCTAATTTTCCGCTTCAGTAGGAGCTCCAACAATCTGTCCTCTAAAATTTTTGACTCCATTGGCAATCAGAGTCTGAGAAATAGGCACATCGGATACAACACGAGCAGCTCTGACTGCTCCCTGAATCAACTGCAGAAACTGTCTACCAGAATTCTCATCTAATGTAACTTTGGTAGACTCGAGCTCAATATTAGTCGCTCCTCTTATCGAAGTAGTTATGTCAATACCAGCGGTAGAAGGTAGATCCATCGGAGTCGTAGAAGCAGGATCATCTATAGGAGGAGGGGGATCTACACGTATCTCATCTATCATATCTGCAAATCTAGCCACTCGACCTCGCTCACGGCTAGTTCGACGACCACGTCTAGCACTCATCTTGGTGAATCTTGAGTTTATTACATAAGATAAAACCTAGGGTTAGATTGAAACTTGGAGTCTCGAACACAATTAAAATCGTAAAAACTTTGTGACATGGCCTTAGTGACTTGTTTTGTAAAACATTTCAAAACCGTATTTTCAGTTTGAACTTATACACAATCTGAGGTTTAAAAACAAAAAGCTCTGATACCAATTAAATATAACCCTCTAAACCCAGCCTATGCATTTCGACTAAGTCTATCAGATTATATTCATGATTCTTAATGACATTTTTCTAAAATAGTTATTCAATAACTAAAACCATGTTACAAATGACATTTATAAAAGTATAATAATTTAACAATAAAACCCCAACTTGTAAATATAAAACTAAAAAGTAACAAATTAATTTAAAACATTTCTTAAAATCTAGATCACGTTAAACCAAATATCAGTAATAAAAACAATAGTAGTTACAAATCAAATACTTCAAAATAAAAGCCAATGTTTCCATAATAAAGTTAACTTGCAAGATAAAAACATTACATTCAGATGGACTGTACTATATGTGCCAATCCTCCAAGTGCTTGATCCTGGGTATCTAACCAAATGTATCTGTAAGGGGAAAATATTTTGAAAAGTGAGCTAAGCTCAGTGTGTCCCAACATTACAATAAAATCATGATAGGTACACTAAACAAATAATAGTTCAGTAAATCTCATAAATCATAATGTAATTTAGCTTTTTAAACTCATAGTTTAAAAACCCATTGTAAAAAGAACCAACCTAAGGGAACATCTTAAGGCATGAGAGCCTACCCAAGAAAGTTTTCGGGGCCACGGGGCCTACCTAAGAACACATCTTAGGGCCGCAGGGACTATCTGAGAAAGATTTCAGGGCGGCAGAGCCTACCTAAGAGTCACATTAGGTCCATAAAAATTTTCCAGCTTGATTAGAGCTGTACTTTATAAATCAGTATCTCAAAGATACAATTTATACAGTGATACAATTCCATAAATCCTTAATCATTGTAATCATATACCAGTGAAAATCAATAATTAGATAGTAGTCATAATCCATAAGCCATCACCATTAAGTCGGTGCATCAATAAAATAGTAACCATAGATTTCAGTGTACCATATGTTAAAACAATAAAATAATTAAGTAATATATAGGGAATATACCTCGATAATAGGGTCAAATTGTAGATCTATTGAGTACTGGCCTCGCCAAGCTCTGCTACAGTTTTCGAACCTAATTCGTAATAACACTATATTATTAGTGGGTAACATAATTAATTTATAAAATCATAAGATTTACGACTCATACGAGTGAATACTGGCACACATGGTCTAACGGATTTAGAGGAGCTGGGTCGAGCTGTCGAGCGATCAGGAGAGTCTCTTGTACTTTTAATTAACAATAACTAATAAGCCTTAAGTCTTAATTTAATCATTCAAAGCTAAAACTCTTAAGTACATATACATTTTCGGGTTTGACTGACAATTTGGAGGCTTTTGAGTTCAAATTTGGAAAATCAGACTTCGGAATCGTACTCAGGACGTCGAAAAACATAAAATATGACTTTTCAAAAAATTTGATTTTTTTGTCAAAGTCAACGGTTTTGACTGACAATTTCGAGGCTTTCGAGCTCAAATTTGGCAAAACAGACTTCAAAATCGGACTCAGGACGTAAAATATAAAAAATATGACTTTTCAAAAAAAAATTGACTTTTTCGGTCAAAGTCAACGGTCAACGGGTCGGTCAACGGGCCGGGTCAACCGGGTCAAACTGCCCCAACCATTGGCGAAGCTCTCCCACGCGTAGGGGTGCGTGCGGCGGCTTATAGTGTCCGAAAAATTCTCAAAAAATTTCTAAAAATATTTTAAACGGTTTTAAGGCACTTACCAAGCTCGGTTCAAAATTTTGAATGGTGGAGAGCTTAATTTCAACTCGTTGGAAAATTTGACTTCCTCACCTCCCTTATGCACCGGTAACGACGGAGACTCGCCGGCAACGACGAAGACGCGACGGACACTGGTGGACTCAAAACGACACAAGGAACACGATGGTGCGGGAGGTGTCGAAAACAAAGCAACGATCGATAATGAATTGATGATTTTCACGGTGGTGGTGCTAAAAAAAGGTTAAAACTTTGAATCGAAATTCACGACGTTAGACAATGTTTCGCTACGATCAGTTTCCATGGTTTTGTTCACCGATCGACGACGAACACGATTGTGATTTCGGATCGACGAACGGTGGCCGAACGGCGTCGAAATTGGATTTGAAAGGAAACTATGCGGGAGAGGAAATGTTAAGCAATTGTTTCTGATTTGAAATCAGAAAACAATTGCACGTATTTAACAAAGTTTTATGTCGACACTAAAAGGAAAAATTCAGGGCTTGGTCCCTAAATTTCCTTAAACTTCTAAAACAACTTACAAGTTCTAGAAATTTCTAATTTATTCCCCAAATTTCACCGAATTGCTTAAATATAATTTTTTTCTTTTTTTTTTCCGGGTTGTTACAATCTTAGACGGTCAATTTTTTTAACGAGGATGAGTTTAGAACATATGAATAGTTGAGTGACCTTTTTTAACTTTTAATAGTCGAGAGAATCAACAAAGCAATACCCTATTGTAGGAGGGATCATTTTGTAACTTTTAATAATTAAAAGACTCAATAAAATAATATCCTAAGTTGAGGGACCAATTTGTTATACTTTAGTACCCTTAAATATTTTAACATCCGATTATAAGGATTTTAATACAAATCTAACAAATAAATATATAAAAACCTAATTAAATATTTTAGCCACATTTAATCTTATTTTATTTGAACACTCTAGGTTCTAATCATATTATTCCTTAAATTTGATCCAAAAAGTAAATATTTTTTCTATATAACCCAAGTAGATTATTTTCTTCTTCTCACCTTCAAATAATATTGCATTTGAAGAAACTCAACAAATATAACCTCTTCCTCAAATATATATATATATATAACCTCATCAAAATAGCATGGTTTCAATATTTGACTTCATATGCCTTACAGGAACTCTTTTCCCCTGCCTTGTTTCACTAAATACAGTTTAAAATAAATATAATATTTTATTTTCATTATAAAATTATCAAAAATATTATATTTATTTAACTGGCCTAGATGATTTTACATTTTATAGTTGGTCTAAATTTAAATTCTCATTTAAATATTTTTATTTCTTTATGTTTTTTTAAATAATACCTAACATTTTGGTTAGGTATCATTTTGTTATCTATTTGTTTAAAATTTAACAGTTATAAAGATATGTCATCATAAGAAAAAGTCACATTATCATTGAAAGTAATAAAAAAACAACATCAACAATTATGTTAATATTTTAACAGTATGATACAAAATTAAAATCTAAACTAAAATTATTGATTAAAATGGTTTATATAATCATAATCGTTTTTTGGTATTTAATTTCGGATGCTTTGCGATCATAATTGAATCACAACCATCTGTTGCTACCTCTGGATTTATGCGTATTTATGCAATACATCGTGTTACTACCCATTTACGCTTTCATATATTTTTATTGGGTCTTTTGGTTTTCCTTTATTGTTCTCCCCGATTTGGTGTTTGTTGATTGCTCCTAAGAACCCCTCTACAAACGACACTTCTACATGGATTCATCAAAGGAGAGGGCCGACGCTGATGCAGTCGTGGTGGCGATGGGTGGAAATCGATTCTTTAAGCGTTGCAAGCTCAGATTTGGAGTACCGAAATCTTTCCCAACCGATCCTCTTCGATTTGGAGAGAAGGAATCTTTCACAACCGGACCTCCAATCAGAATCGAAGAACTATTCCGGCAGATTGAACCCGAAAATTTGGTTCTCGCTGCAATATTTGGCGTTGCATGCATCATTTTCCATTTATGATCGCCGATTGTTGATGGTTTACAACCTTTGGTTATTCTGTTTGGATTTAACTCGATAAACCCGTTTCTTGAATCCTCTTTTGATTGAAACAGGGCAATATCTACATCTAGGATGGTTCAATCCATGCCGATGGAGACTACCAGGGTTTGAACTGCTCTGATTAGCAACGAATTCGCGATGGACTGGAAAGGAAAATACTCACAAAGCGAATTTCAGATCAAATTGGGCGATTTCTTTTGTAACTGCAAATTGGAAATCCTGCTCCGTTGCTCAATCTTGGGTGTTGCGTTCCTATTTCTTCATTTCTTGGTTTTTCGGTTACCTAATCAATCTACTGATTTATATTATTTTACATGCAGAAAAGGATCTACACTTCTTGTGGACGATTGAGGTAAATCCGAGGAGGACTGCCTTAAAAGTTTTGAAGATTGAACTAAGGCGGAGGTGGTTCTTCCGATTCCCGGTGTCTGCATGTCTTTACCAAGGAAATCACATACTCTGGTCCCTATATATGATATACTTTACCAAAGGAAGACATGATTAGGATGGAAAGAGTTTCAAGATTCTGATCATTATACTTGTTGGATTAAATGACAATATCTGCTATGGATGAATGACGCCTCATGCTCCTCTGATAAGGGTATGCTTGTGTTGATATAGTTTATGTTTCTAATGGAAGTCATGATGCCAAGTATGTCTAATTGGCAGAGTGTTAGAAATTATTATTGGTTTAGGGTAGTCTTTGGAGCTGGAATTGTCATTTGGTTTATGCTGGATTACTTTCAACATGATAATTTATTCACGAATTCCAACCTTCACATGCATAAGTATGGTATGGAATTCTATGGTCATTGACATTATCCTATAGATAGATCGATGCAGGGTATGCCTGTTTGGTGTGGTAATGCTAAAAGCTTTAACAGTGGCTAGGAAGATAAGTGTTGCCCTTACTAAAAAAATACTCCAATGAACCGGTGGAACGATTTACTGATGAACATACTTTGTATGTAGGATAAGCAGATTACTATTACACGGTCACTGATGGAGCTCAATATAGTCACTATGTTTTACTTTGGCATTATGAAATTTTATTGGGTTGTATTAAATTTAGTCTAGGGTTTCGTAATGTTCTATTGGGTTGTATTAAAATTAGCTTAGCTAGTTGCCAATTATACTATAATAATTGATATTTCTATCTACGCCATGAAAGTATGGATGAGGATTTCCTTAGCCATTGAGGTCCCACGATAACCAGATGGGAGCTGTTGGAACTGACTAGCATGGATATAGCTCGGAATGCCTTCATCCTATTAGAGGTTATAATGCAAGTAAATTATCATTTCCATGGATGTCTTTGGAGGTATAAATTGGAAAATGTTAGTAAATGTTATCTTGACATTACTTCTCTGTATTTAACAAACCAGATCCCTATCTATGTTGTTATAGCATAGATGAGGGATTATTTGGTCATCGACACCTTCCTTATGGGGGTTCGATACGAGGTATTGGCAATGGGCACTGTCTGGTTTTATTATATATATACAGGTTCTTAATCAGATATTCATTATTGTGAGGTGCTATATACAGGATGACAGGGACGCCTCGATGGCAAGGTCGTTACAATAAGGCAACTGAGGAGTATGGACAGCTTCTTGCAGACTGAGCTATAGTTGCTCTCATCAATAGGTATATATTCATATCTTCCCTAACGTTTTATTTTACATAAGTTAACTTAGGTGTGTTGAGCGGAAGACTTAATTACCATAATGTTTGCAAGAGGTCACAAAAATGTTACCATAACTTATTACATACACAAACGGCTCGTTGCATTAAAAATGGGCTAATTAAAATATGGCATTAGAACGTGTTTAACATTTGTGGGAAGACACACAAGGGGTCACCTCAATTAGAATTGACTCGTTATAGACTATTTTCATGTACACATAATAGTTGTTTAAGTGACATTACATCTACAACTTAATGGGTTGTGGTGGCATTTTTACCTAAGGAAATATATTATCGGTGCGTGGTGCAATACATTTAATTCTAACCTACAAGACGTAAGCAATCGGCCCTGCTATTTTTATGGGAAACACCTAAATTTAGGAAAGGAATTTTATTTTGTACGCGTAGGAGTCTATATAAGCTTGGACTCCAAACGAGGTTATCTGTTGGGCAATGATTTAAAGTTTGAAATTTCGGCAAGTATTCAAAATTTAAGGAGATATTCAAGCTTACTCGGAGTATATTTGAAATTTAAACAGTGTCCAATATTTTTAAACTTCCAATCCTATACCACTTTATCAAATAAACAATGGTTGTTTCATAATTCTGTAATCTATAATTTGATACCTCCTCTCTATATATCTGGGATAGTATTCTATCAGTCTTGGAATCTGATCTTGACGTCAGTATGATTGTTTATACTTTTATATAAGGGTCAACAATTATGTAGACTAATTAAGCTGAGTTATACTCGATCTATCTGGTTTGAACTATTTCTTTCACAACACTCCTTTGATTAACCATTAAGAATTTACGTGGCAGATTCACTACTTCAGAAACTAGAAGAATTTACCTTCACGACAGAAGAAGATGTGGATCTTGCTGACTTGGGAGATTTTGTGGGAGAGGAAGTGGTAGATTTACCCCACTGTCTGATTGGGAAACCCATCACCCAACGTGAAATTGATGGCAGTGCCGTAACCCAGGTATTTTGAAATATCTGGGGGCACCGACATGCGATTGATATTGAGGAATTGAAATCGGGAATGCTTTTAGTCAAGTTTAACAGCGAGGGTGCTATGAAGGTGGCTATTAATAGATCGCCTTGGACATTTGATGGGGACTATTTATCCCTGTGGAATATGATCCGACTAAAGGGGTGGATGAATATTCTTTTAAGTTGATGAACATTTGGGTAAAGATATACAACCTACCACTGGACTGATGAAAGAAGAGACGGGCTTCTCACTAGGGAAGAAAATTATATGGGTGGTAGCGTTGGATTTGTGCCAGCAGAATGGTAGCTTTGGTGAATTCCTTCGGTTCCGGGTTGAGCTTAACATCCACAATTCTCTGCTGAGATGCATAAGGATACCAGATTGACAATGAGGTAAACCTAGAGTATGTCCATTAAAATATGAACGTTTACCGATTTTTTTGCTTTAAATGTGGAGTAATAGGACATGCCACGGAGAAATGTACTAAGAAAGTGGATGGCCCCAAAGACAAGATGAATTATAGGGACTGGTTGAAGGTTGTGACACAACAACCAAGGGTCCGATCTAGACCAAAGCAATTTATTTACGTAGACTCTGAATCTCTCAGACTACTGCTGGGGAAATCATGAAAACTGTAGATATGGCGGGTACTTCTTCCAAGGATCCGCAAGTGGGAAAGCAAGGTAATAATGATAAGGGTAGCCCAGCTGGGGAAGGTAGTAGAAAAATCCCCGAGGAAGAATTGAACATCCTAATCGGCGATGATCTAATGGATGAAAATGAGACGAAAGTGGTCACTGAGAAACTAGCTACTTTTGAGCCGATTAAGGAGAATGAGGACTCTTCGGTGGTCATTAATCAAGGCGTTTCCATACAGGAACCAATTAAATATGCATGGTTGCTTTACAGTTAGTCGTGGTGAAGATTGTACTAGTCTTATGTTGAAAATATTTTGATGTTTCGATATAATAAATAATGTATTATTGAATTTTAAGATTTTATACTCGATTTAAATCATATATTCGATTAAATTATTCGAATATAAAAAATATTACTCTAAAATTTTCAAATGTTAATTTTAATCCTTACGTAAGTGTAAAATTGTGTTTTAATTTTAAAATATTTTTGAAACAATTTTTAGAAAGTATTTCGAACCATAATCAGGTCAAAAATAATTTTTGTGAAGGGAGGTACCGATACACTCTTGGATGTATTGATACACCCCCAACTTCGAATGTATTTTGGGTATAGATACTCAGTTGATGTACCGATACACCATTGACTCAGAGAAACATCGAATGTAATTTGGATATCAATACACTAGATCAATCAACGGTCGAAATATTTAAATTTTACACTATGTGTATCGATACACCTTGAGAGTGTACCTATAACAACCCGGAAAACTGAGAAGAAAAAAAAATAATATTATATAGGTATATTGGTGTAATTTGGTGACTAAATTAAAAATTTTGAAAACTTGTAAGTCATTTTAAAAGTTGAAGGAAATTCAGGGACTAAACCCTAAATTCCTCTAAAGAGTGTCGGCAGAACATGTTCTTAAATAAGTGCAATGAGTTTATGATTTCAAAATTAGAAACCCATTCGCTAAAATATACCTCCTCCCGTATCCCTACTTTCAAGCTCGATTACGACGCCGTCCGATCTCTGATCGTCAAATTGAAACCATCATCTTGTTCATCTTCGACCCGTGAACAAAACCCAGTAAATCAATTATAGCGAAACGATGTCGAACGCTGTGAATTTCGATTTAAAGTTTCTGACGTTTCGGAATCGAGCTTTCCGCCGTTCAAAATTTTGAACCGAGCTTGGTAAGTATCTCAAAATCCAATTAAATAATTTTAGATATTAATAAGCTCTATCCATGGTCTATATTTCATACGTGAATTCCAACAAACATTATTATGAAATTAATGTCATAAAAGTGCAAGACAGTGTCATATAAACGAATTGGCGGTACCCCATTCGAAGTAGTTTGTTTATGGAGACAAGAAATGGAACTGACGAGGCCATGTGATGATGTTGGCTTCTTGGGTTGATATACTATATTTAATTAATATGTATGGACAAAAGTGTTTACTAAGTTTTTTTTAGAGTTATACGGATATGTTTGGTTAATTAAATGTTTTACTAAGGATTTTATGATTTTAATACTTTTTAATGATATTTTTTTTTTGAAAAATGGTTTATTATTATCTACGTATTTGAACCGGTTTGATCCGATCCGATGATATTTTAAGAATTATTTTAAAAAATGTGATATTTTGAGAATTATTTTGAAAAATGTGATATTTTAGAAATTATTTTAAAAAAAAGTGATATTTTGGTAATTATTTCGAAAAAAAAGTGATATTTTAGTAATTATTTTGAAAAAGTTATATTTTGGTAATTATTTTTAAAAAAAGGTGCTATTTTCGCAATAGTTGGTTGTGGACTTTTGAGAACCTTTGACCAAAACTTTGACCGGATTTAACTGGCCATTAATCGACCTTTGATTTTATTCGAGTATACCTATTCTGACATTTTTCGATGAGACGAATCCGTTTTCGAAGTCCGTTTCGCCAAATTCGAACTCGAAGGCCTCCAAATCATCAGTCAAACTCGTTGACTTTGATTTTGACCAAGAATTTGAATTTTTGAAAAGTCATACTTTATGTTTTTCGACGTCCTGATTCCGATTCCGCAATCTATTTGGTCAAATTCAAACTCGAAAGCCTCCAAATTGATAGTCAAAACAAAAAAATGCTTATGTACTTGAGATATTTAACTTTGAATGATTGAGTAAGACTTGAGATTGATAAATTATTAATGTTTGAAGGTACAAGAGACTCTTCTGATCGTTCGAAAGCTCGACCCAACTCCTCTAGATCAGTTAAACCACGTGTGTCAGTATTCACCCGTATAACCCGTAAATTTTTATGATTTAAGAAATTAATTATGTTACCCATTAGTAATATAGTGTTATTATGAATTAGGTTTGAAAACTATAACAGAACGTGGCGAGGCCAGTACTCAGTAGATCTATAGTTTGATCTCATTATTGAGGTGTGTTCCCTATGTACTATTTGATGGTTTTCAATGATTTGATAAATAAATAAATAAATAAATAAATAATATATATATATATATATATATATATATATATATGTGTGTCACTGAAATTTTATGATTCAATGGATGATGGTTCATGAACTATGATGGAACTTTATAGATGATATTTGATTAATTGGTTTCAATGGATGGTATTAATTTATTGGATAAGGATCATGGAAATCTTTACATGCTATTTGAAATATATTATGGGGATATTGTTTGGGTAGGCTGGAGTATGGAGGTACAGCTCTGATCAAGCTGGTAAATCCTTACGGACCTAAGGCAGCATTTAGGTAGGCTTTCGGGCCCCAAGATGTTCCTTTAAGTTGACCCCTTATACTAATGGGTATAAGGTTGCCTCATGGACACAGTTATGAGAACTGTATATAATGTACTGGAGGAGGGTATATTATATGATTTAATATTTTATACTTTAACAAGATTTCCATGATACTTGACATGATTATAATTGATGATTTTTCGTATGATGTTTTTACTGAAATAATGGGACACACTGAGCCTAGCTCACTTTTCAAAAATGTTTTTTTTCCCTTTTAGATACTGTTGGGTAGATACTTGGATCAAGCACTTGGATGATCAACATGTCCCTTGAAGTATATCTTATTATAATGTTTTATCTTTCGAGTTCAGTTTATTTAGATAACATGAGCCTTATTTTAAAGTATTGGATTTTACAATATTTACTCTTTTGCTATTTATGTTTGGTTTATCGTAATTGGGATTTTTTTAGACATGTTTTAAAAATTAAATTTTTAACTGTTCAATTTTATATTCATGAGTTAGGTTTTATCGTAATATATTATATCCTTTTATAAATGTATTTATAATGTGCTTTTATAATTGATTGAATAAAAGTTTCGAAAAAATGTCTCTAAGAATCATGAATGTGATCCACTACACTTATTCGAAACGCATAGGCCGGGTCTAGAGGGTTACATTTAATTGGTATCAAAGCTTTTGGTTTTTAAACCTCGGACTATGTATGAGTCCAAATTGAAAATACAGTTTTGAAATAGTTTACAAAATAAGTTGCTAAGGCCATGTCTCAAAGTTTTTACGATTTTATTTGTGTTCGAGACTCCAAGTGCTATCTAACCCTAAGTTTTATCTTCTATATTAAACTCGATATCTACCAAAATGAGTGCTAGACGTGGACGTCGAACTAGCTGTGGACGAGGTCGAGTGGCTAGATTTGCAGACCCGATCAATGAGATTCGAGTAAATCCCCCACCTCCGACAGGTGATCCTGCTCCTACGACTCCGACGAATTTACCTCCTGTCGTTGGTATTGGCATCACTACACCGATCATAGGAGAAACCGATAGTGAGCCTGATTCTACCAGAGTTGTATTTGATGAGAATTTTGGTAGACATTTTCTACAGTTGATTCAAGGAGTGGTCAGAGCTGCTGGTGTTGGATATGAGGTGCCTATTTCTCATACTCTGATCGCCAATGGAGTCAGAACTTTTGGATGAAAGATAGGTGGAGTTCCTACTGGAGCTGAAGATTGGCTCCAGGATACTGAGAGACGTATGGATCAGTTGGGTTTGGACCCAACTAAGAGATATTTGGGGGCAATATCGATGTTAGATGGTAATGCCCACTCATGGTGGGAATCAGTGGTCAGTATTGTTCTGACTGATCGTTTGATGTGGGATTTCTTTAAGGAGCATTTTAGGAACTGTTTCCTGGGAGAGCGTTATTTAGTTCAAAGACGACAGCAGTTTCAGGACCTGGTTCAAGATGACATGATTGTTTCAGAGTATAAGATAGAGTTCTTGAAATTGCTTAAGTATGGAATCAGTCTGGTGCCTACAGATAGAGATCGATGCCGTAAGTTTGCCCTCGGACTCAGATACGAGCTACGTAGGCAGGTTGCTACCCACCAAGATGAGATTTTTGATGTGCTGGTGGGCAGAGCCAAGGATGCTAAGGAGATGGAGGATTTAGCTTCTGGTAAAGAGCTGGTTGATCGGGAGCGATCTAAGAAATTTTTAAGCCCTACTAAATCATCTGCACAATCCGGGAAGAGGACTCGTACTTCGGCTCCTCAGAGGAGTAATACACGTTTTAGACCTGCTGTATCTTCATCTCCAGCAGTTAGTCGTGGTGGTCTTTCAGGGTTGCCACATGTGCCCCTTTGTGATTATTGTGGTAATCGACATAGAGGGGAGTGTCGTAATAAGATGGGTTTTTGCTATCAGTGTGAATCCAATGGTAATTTTATGAGGGAGTGTCCTCAGCTAGCTTCATCTGAGCGGACCGCTACCCAGACTCTTGTGCGTTCTCATACTACAGTACAGACCCCAATTAGAGATCATAGTCAAGAAAAGGCTCGTGGATCAGCGTCCAGGACATATAGTAGAGCCCGACATCAGCAGAACAGAGGACCAGTAGTTTCTGAGGCTAGACAGCCAGCTTTGGTTTACACCACTAGACGTCGTGATAACAGAGATGAGCCTGAGTTTATTGCACGTACATATACTATTTATTCTATTCCATACTTTGCATTACTGGACAATGGCTTCACCCACTCCTATGTATCGAGTTCAGTATCTCG